CCTTCCTATCAATTATTGTAAATTCGTAGTAACGCAGCCGTGTTGTAGTGGTCAGAGATTTGGCTTCAGAATTGGAGGTCTATTTTTCGACGCTGACTCTGGACATATATGCGTCGTTGGAAATTTACTAGAAAATCTGAAAACGGTTAATAAAGGCATACCCAAGCTTTCTATTTCACTTGCAATGTACTAATCCTCTTTGAGCACAGATTCATTAGGCTCCTTTTTGTATGCAAATCATAAGGGTCTGTAGTAGGCTGTGGACGATGACTTTTGATATCTTCAAATAGGCACCTTTTGATTGTTGTTGTTAAATCCAGTTAAAACCAATGGGACTGGAAAAGTAATAAAAAGAAAATCTTCATTTTTTAAATCTCTGTTATAAATGCTTTGGCTATTAGCACCATCAAAGTCAGTTTTACACATGAGAATAATGCTATGAAAATACCGCATGGAGTAGTGCTGAAAAAAAAGCAATTAGATCTTCTTTATTTGCAACAGAAGCTTCTAGCACGTCTTATAAACTTTAAAGACTGTTATACTCATAACTTTAATACAACTTTTGTGAACAGAAAAAGTTTTAAACTAGCTACAAAGCTTAACAAATTTCTACTTTGTGTAGACATCGCATCTATGAAAGGCATATCATTTACTGCTTGAGCATTAATCCAAGGAATTAAAAAAATCCTTTTATTTTCCACCACGTCCCTGGTAGTAAGAGAAACATCATATGGTTTAATCCTCCGTTCAGCAAAAACGTTGTCACCAAAACAGGACACCTTTTTTTTAAGTTAATTGACTTGCATTTTCCTTTTCATCATAAGTTCCACAAGATATTTAACAGAAATACAATCAAAATTAGTTACAGCTGCATGCCGAATGTTGGATCAATAATTAATTCACACAACCAAAAAATATTACGCACCAAACCCACTGCTTGTGTCACCAACTGCAACTGTATTAATAAACCTTCATGCCCTTTAAATAATCAATACTTATCTAAAAATGTCGTGTATAAAGCCACTATATCTTAAGCTAACCCTAGTAATTCCGAAAAATCATGTATTGGTATCAGTGAAGGCTCATTCAAGCATAGGTTTGCAAACCATTTAAAATCATTTAACGCTACTAGATACGAAAACGATACAGAGATTTCTAAAGAAATATGGAAACATAAAAATGCAGGTATTATGCCGTTAATCAAGTGGAATATTATTAAAAAGTGTCAATCATATAATCCATCAACTAAAAGATGTAATCTTTGTTTATATGAAAAGTGTTTAATTATGACTTATGATCAAGGATCATTACTTAATAAAAAAAGTGAGTTGGTTTCTTCTTGCACGCATAGAAAAAAATTTCTGCTTTCACAATTCGATACCGGGGATTAGGACTCATGATATCGTCTGACGTAAACTTGATGTCAGATACCGTTGCAACGCTAAAAAATTGTATTTTTTAACAGTTTTTTATTTTGTAAATTTTGAATGATATGGCTGAATGATTGCCGAATGGCATGAAACTGATAATTCCATAAAAAGTTGTATTTTTTTCATTTAAATTATATAAATATAATTCGATCTATTTTACAAAGAAATATTGATCACTCTTAAGCAGGCAAGAGCTGTATTTTTAACAAAATACTATACCTATCAACAATTATATATATATATATATATATATATATATATATATATATATATATATATATATATATATATATATATATATATATATATATATATATATATATACATATATATATATATATATATATATATATATATACACGTTTTTCGTGGGGTATTGGCGAACAGCTAACCGGGAATGAGAATAAAAGACAACTATTACTATATATTGATGATATTTATTACTTATTATTTTGCATAACCATTCGTCTAGAAACACTCAAAAGCAATTTGCATATATCTTATTATAAAATAAAAATTCGTTCGTAAACAAAACCATTGGTGATCAGAATTACTCTACCTACCTGGAATAATTCCGAACATACCGTGGGGTATTCACAAACACTGTTGGGTAATAGCAAATAAACTCAAATTTTCTCAAAGTAAATCAAACATAATTAAAGCGCTGAAATATAAATGAATCGAATTTTAAACAAATCAACTCCAAAGAATCAAACATCAATAAATGTTATTCAAAGCAAATAAAATGTAAAATAACAATAAATGTTATTTAAATAAAATAAAATGTTACTCCCATTAATTACGTGCAAAAATTCCAGAGAAAACCTCTGGATGTGCTTGAGGAACTTGTGCACTCGTGGGAACAGGATTTAGATATGTAACACATAACCCAGTCTTCAGTGGGTGGATCATGATACTTCTCTTCACAAATTAAACAATAGTAATCATTTTCTTTAACGTCTCTGGTTATTTTATTCTTCTTTGGTACATTATTAGCCTCAAACTTGTTAAAGTTGCTCCCTCCCTTCCTTTTTTTACCAGCAGCATTTTTTACTTTTTGTTCCTTTATACTTTTCTTTTGCTGCTTGTTCTTTAAAAAATCTTCCATTGGAGAACTAGTGATAATAGTCGAATCTTTCTTTCTTAGACTTTTTCTGGTTTTCCTTTTTGGCAAACTAGGTTCAGAAACAATATTTAAAAGAGATATTGGCTGATTTGATCTAATTGAGACCAGTTCAGGGGCTATATTCACATCAGGTGACAGACCTACACTAAAAGAACTAACACTTCAGATGATTTTGCTTGAGTATCTGATTGATTCATTGTGTTTACCTGGAATTTTGAACTCTGAATGTTATCAAAATTTTTTTAGTAATTAATAAGTTTTCTTGAAATGCATTTGATATTAATTTTTTTTTTAGATTAAATAATTAATAAAGTATCACCGAAAAAAAAGTATTAAATTGGATAAAATATTTATATGTAAAAGTTATTCAAAAAACCTCCTAACATACTTTAATGGTTCAATTTGCATCAAATAGGTTTACATTTCATTTACGACGACCAATTTACCATTCACGATTACGAGGACCAATTTACCATTCACGATTTATGGGAAAAAGTATAAAATTGTATCTTTTTATGAATGAAATCCAAAACCTGACTGACAAACATAAAGAAGAAATAACTGGTATGGCTTAATGTCTTAAAATAAAACAATTCTAAAAAAAGAAAAAAATTAATAAATATACATAAAAAAAATTTCTCTACCAAACAACAACAAATTTGAAGGAGTTCAAAATTTTTCAAAATTGTACTTTTACTGTATGCAATTTGTTTTGTTTTCTTGTAAAAGGTTTTAGAAAAAAGAAAGTTTGCAACTTTTTGATAATCTAAAAATTCTGTGGGAACCATTTGCAGTATTTTGAAATTACTTGACTTTGTACGTATGTTTTTTAATACTGTAATCAGACTAATTAAACTCTATATTTTTAACTTTTTTTTGATGTAATGATATAGAGCATTAGATTCAAAATAAAAAATAGAAATACACATATACATGCAGTACACAGTAGTGTAATGCATCAATATTTTGTAAGTTGCCGAGTCCTGGTTTGGTAAACTTCTGTTCTATAATTTTAATGTTGTTGTTATCTTCTGATTCATTATTGAATTTTTACTTTGTGGAGCGTAACTGTACGACCAAAGAATGATTTTATTAATCGGTTAATGATTTAATATAAGGATTGTTTTTGACTACATTTTTTAATGGTTTCACAACTTTATTTAAATAAACACGCATTGAAATAAGATACTGTTTTGTTCAATATCAGGATATAGAACAAAATATTATAAATAACATTTATTTTTTTTGGCTTTGAACAAAAAAAATCTGAAAATTCTAATAAGCAATGCCGATTCTATATGTTTTATAATATATGTTGAACAAGCATATCTTTAAATGAAAATTTAGTAAAAATTGAATATTGAACAAACCAATTCTCAGGTAACAAAATGCATTGTTTCTTCACAAAATAACCTTGATAAAAAGTACATCGGCTTAAACAGGGATGAATGGAAATAAATTTATGCCAAACAGAAATTTTTTGTTTATTGCCAACAACAATCTTTTAAACATTAAAAATACTCAAAAAATGCTGTCAAAATTTATATGGGATTTAGAAGAAAAAAATAATTATTTTGAACTAAATTGGTTTTTATTTTATTTTAGTTAATTAGTAAAAAAAAAGCCATCGCATTTTGTTTAATTTTACTTTAATTTTTTTACAACTAAATATGCGTAATAACAAGTTTTTTAATTTTTAAGTAAAGCTGTTCCTATTGTCTGTTTCAACATAAATGTTGTTCCTATTGTCTGTTTCAACATAAATGTTGTTCCTATTGTCTGTTTCAACATAAATGTTGTTCCTATTGTCTGTTTCAACATAAATAATGTTCCTATTGTCTGTTTCAACATAAATGTTGTTCCTATTGTCTGTTTCAACATAAAACTATAATTGGTTTTAAAAAAATCTGAATGTATTATGTTACAAGGAGTCTCCTAAAATTTAATATGCAAAAAATAACGGATGCATAACTTTCCATTATTCCTTTTTTTTCGGGACACCTCACAATAAATATAACAATACAAAACCATGTAGCGAGCAATTTATCCCTTCAATTTATTTATAATAATTTATTTATTATAAACTATAATTGGTTTTAAAAAAATCTGAATGTATTATGTTACAAGGAGTCTCCTAAAATTTAATATGCAAAAAATAACGGATGCATAACTTTCCATTATTCCTTTTTTTTTCGGGACACCTCACAATCAATATAACAATACAAAACCATGTAGCGAGCAATTTATTACTTCAATTTATTTAAAGTTTTTTCTTTTGATCGAATGTTTTTTATTCAAAGTGTAGTTTGATAAGTAAACACTTTTGTTTTAAATCTTTGCCTAGTCTTTTGCTGCTGTGCAAACTTATTGGGATTTATGGATGCGCAAACTGCACCTGCGGTTGCAGATGATTAATTTGATTTTAAGTCTATTTTCAGTTTATCACATGTTAATTGTCGGTGATATCATTAGTAAAGTAACTAAAAATATATCAAGTTAATTCGATAATTAAATTTTTTTCTATAAAGATCAGATTCAAAATGTTAATGCATCTCGTGAATAGAAGAGAAAAAGAATTTAAAAATGGTAATATATTTTACATTACGGTCAAAAAATATACATATTATTTTAAATAAATTATTTTGAAGGCTTATTTTGAATAAATAATTGAGAAAATTAATATTTTAATGCTAATATTAAATATTGTAATTTCTAAAAGAAAATAAAAGTTTCTTAATTTTAAATAACTAATTTTTATGTCTCACATATACTTTTTTTTTTTTAACTCGTAAGGCTTGGAGGATCGTTTTTCTACTGACAGCTGGTTTTGTTTATGCTTATGGTAAGTTCCACACAGTATTATTAAATTTGGCTTTATTTTGCAAACCTTTCATATTATTTAAAAATTAAACTAAAATACTAAAATATTTACCCTATAATAGAATTAAATTAGTAATAGAACTAGTTTTAAAGTCAATCTCAAAATTTTAGATTTAAAACTAAAACATTTTATATTTACTATAGTTGTCTACTTTAGTAATGTGTTTAACTTAAATAAATTATGGAATAAAGAGCCAAATCAATTTAAATTCTTTTATGATTGTACAGCTGCTAAACCTCCTGTAACATGTCAAAGAAGTTTCAGTAAAATTGGTTGCTTCAAAGAGGTAAATAGCAGACCAGATCTTGCATTAAATCCAATGAAACTTGAGATTAACGATCGCGATCCAAGCAGTTCGAAGTACCAAGGTTATCTTATTGACTGGAAAAATATGGAAGCATCAGTGCACAGGTATGCTTAACTATTTTGCTATTATTTAGAATACAATGTAATAAAATATTTAAAATTAAAATTGTTCATTAGTTTAGCTTGCAGATGCGCTAGTGCTGCAAGAAGTTTGAAAATGAATTACTTTTCGTTGCGTTTTTGGGGTGAATGTTGGGTTGGAAAAACAGATATGGGAAAACTTGTTATAACTCTTCGAGATCCAAAATGGGTGTCAACAGATTGCGTAAACTCTTGGTCATTTCTTGGTGTTTGTGACCATAAACATGAAAAAGAATGCGTTGCGAAAGCAGGCTCAGGATACATCTACTTTTTAGACGATACTAGCAAAAGTGAAGAAAGTAAGAAAGTTTATAAATGCTTCAAATTTTAAACTTTATACTAAACTGTAAGCAAATTGAGAAAAACTAATTAGAATAAAGACTGTATAAAGTTCATTTAACGAATAATTTTTAATATCTTACAATTTTTTTTAAATTTCCTTTTTTAGTAATGAAATAAATGTGAAAAGTCAACAAATATTTTTCAATTTAGATATTGACGGTGCATATTCTGAATGGAGCAGCTATACAGAGTGTTCTGCCACCTGCGGATTTGGCTTAATGGAACGAGAACGTACATGCACAAATCCTGCCCCAGTAGGTAAAGGAAAAGACTGCAGTAGTCTAGGACCAATGAGCGATGAAAAACCCTGTAATTTACGAGAGTGTCCAGGTAAGCATGGTTAACCAATATTTCCACAATAATAGCTCCCTCCTATCAACCAACAGCCGCTCTTCCCCGGTTTCCTTCTAAAACAATCCCAATAAAAAAAACATTACATTTCATATCAAAACTGTTCAGATTTTACGAATTTAGTGTCAAGCGTTCCGGTTTGCAGATTTTTTTTTTTTTTTTTTTTTTTTTTTTTGCCCAAACTCCTGTTTAACCGGAGTTGCAATTTGGGAAAGAATTTTAAATTATCTTTATAAAGTAAATTACACCGGCTCTAAAATAATTTTTCGAAAAAGAAAAAGCTAAAAACTTTTTAAAAATCAATCTAATCTAACAACTTTAAAACTAGTGTTGTTATCGACTTCGACTAATTGGACTAAAAGTTGACTAGTCGAAAGTCGAAATAAGTCGAGAAATAGTCGATTTATTCGACTATGGACTTCCTACTAATCGAATAAAAGTCGATTAAGTCGAGTGAAAATTCTATAAATCTATCATCTTTTTATTTGATTTAACTTTCCTATCTTTTATTTTTGTTTGTTCGATTAAAAATAAAACAATGTAGTATTATAACTAGAGATGTCACAAATGTGGTCATGCGGAATACCAAATACTCGGCTGCCGAATATTCGATGACACTTTCTTATTTTTAGGGTTCCGACATGGTTCATTAAAGTGTATATCATAGGTATACTGGCAAAAGACGTTAAGTTAAAATATGGCAATTTTGACTTAATGATGCAGTATTGTAAAGTTAAATTAAAAAAAAAACATTTAACGTTAACTCATAAAACGTGCTCTATTGAGGCTAAAAGCTTTTAAATTTAAAAAAAAAAAAGCTAAAAATATTTTCTTAAATAAAAACTTAACATTATAGTGTCTTTAAATGTCAACACCAAGTGCAGTTTAATAAGATTATAAAAGTTTTAAATTAGAGGAAAACTTAAATGATTGGTTTCTCTTAACAAGGGTTTTTGAGTTAACGTTTTAACTAAAACGTATTCTGGCCTAATTAGGCCAGAATACCCATAATATGTTATGGAATTTATGATTTGGCTGTGTAACAGCACATATTATTTGTTGACAGTTATATCAATTGGTTTAAGTATAGTTATTTATAAACGTACCATACTCTTCAAACAACTCAAAAAGATTACAAAAAAAACCAGCTCAGGTATTTGCATCTCAGAAGTTGATATAGATAGATCTTTAATACAAACTGAATTCAAAACATGGTTTAACTTAAATAAAAATGACGATTATACGAGTTATTTAATAGTCGAATTATTTAAAAGTTGTAACAACACTACTTAAAATTCATCAATGCAAAGTTATATTGATTTAAATGAAACAAGGCATAGAAGTTAATTGATATTTACAATTAATTTAAATAAGTATCAATCTTAAATTTACAACTATTCTAGTCTAAAAAATTATTTTGTTATTTATTTTAAAATATTTCATTTTTTTTTTTAATTTATTGTTTAATTTATTAAATTTAAATTTCGTTAAGTGTCTTGTTTACTTGTTTTTTAATTCATATAAGTTTGTAAAAAAAGTCTCAAGCATAAGATTTTGCTATAACTTGAAAATTTTTTTGAAAACAAATTTTTTAAGTGAATGGAGGAATAAGTGAATGGACAGATTTTGGACCATGTTCTAAATCTTGTGGAGGTGGAATATCAGTGAGAACAAGAAGCTGTACAAACCCATCCCCATTAAACGGAGGAAAAGATTGCAGTGAATCAATTCAAGAATCTAAAGATTGTTCTACTGATCCATGCCCTAGTAAAATAAATATTTTATGTTCAAGTATATATAATTATTTAAAAAATGTAATTTTTTTCTTTTGAATTTTTGTTGTTGTTGTTTTTAGTTGATGGTAATTATGGATTATGGAATGCTTGGGGAACATGTTCTGCTGATTGTGGTGATGGCTTTCAAACTCGTCAGCGAGAATGTAATAACCCAAAACCTCAAAATGGAGGGAAAAGTTGTGAATTGGCTGGTATTAGTCAGGAGAGCAGGCTCTGTAAACTCAAGGATTGTCCTAGTATGTTTCTTAGTTATTAAAGTATACTTCAGAATTATGTTTAAAAATAATTACAAATTATTTTTGTTTTTATGTACAGTATCTAACTAATAGTAGTATAACAAAAAAAAATTTCATATCTATTTCTCAAGTTTGTTTTGAATTTTTTTATTGGTAATATTGCTTTCAGCATTTTTTATACACATTCACTGATATCTATTTATAAAAATATACAAAATAATAACTTAATAAGTAAAGTTAACAAATAGATATTTACCCTATAATAGAATTAAATTAGTAATAGAACTAGTTTTAAAGTCAATCTCAAAATTTTAGATTTAAAACTAAAACCTTTTATGTTTACTATAGTTGTCTATTTTAGTAAATGGTGGGTTTGGAAGCTGGAGTGAATTTTCTCCTTGCTCTAAATTATGTGGTGATGGAATTCAAACTCGCACAAGGAAATGTGATCAACCTGAACCTGCACATGGAGGAAAAGATTGTGAAGGGACATCTGTTGAAACAAACATGTGCAAAATAGTTGATTGCCCTAGTAAGTTAAAAAGATTGACAACAATAAAAATTTGGTTTTCGTTAATTCTAGTTTTAGTTTTATTGTAATAAATACATATTGGAAGCAGGCATCTAAAATAAAGCAGCATTTCCAAATTTGTTTATGTTCCATAAAAATCAAGTTGTTATTAATAAAAGTTATTAAATCTTTCTTATTTTTTAACATTATTATAAATATTCAACTATTAGCTGAAGAGGCTTCAAGCCATGGTTCATGAAACATGCCATGATTAGCATCTTTTTAACAAGTTTTTTAAAAAAATACCTTTATAAAAGTATTAATATAAGTAGTTTTACACAATTAAACCTGAATCTTTTGTATTTTAAATGAAAAATTAACTTTTTTTTCTCTAAAGAGTGGCTGAAATGGGGTTAGTAAATTTTTCCATTATTTTTTACTATTGCATAGCATTTTTTTTCTTTAGTTGATGGTAAATATGGTCAATGGAATTCTTGGGGAACTTGTTCAGTAAATTGTGGTACTGGGGTTCAAACACGTCAAAGAGAATGTAATAGTCCAAAACCAGAATATGGTGGAAAATCTTGTGAACTGACTGGCTTTAGCGAAGATAGTAGAACTTGCAAAATCAAAGAATGCCCAAGTAAATTTACAAATATTAATTTTAAAAACTTAATTTTACAATGTTTCAAGACAAGAACTTTTTAAGTTAATCTGAAATACTCAAAAGATTTTAAAAATCTTTTAAGTGTTTCAGTTGCAGAATTTAATGTTGCAAGCCTTTTTGTGCAACTTCATTTTGTTGTTGCACGCCTTTCTAAGTAATTTCCTTTTGTAAATTTAAACTGTTTGCTCATTATGTGTTATAAACACTTTAACAATGTGTTGAATTTTTTTATGTGTTTATTTTTTATATATATAATTAAAAAATTGCTTTAAAAAAAAAAAATTGGATATAAGTGTCTGTTGTAGGAGTATATTTTGATCGGATTTATGTTTTTTAATATTAAGAAATAATTAATTTATCAAATAAAAATTTAGTTAATGGAAAATGGAGCGAATGGGAATCATTTGGTGCATGCACCCAAACATGTGGTTCTGCACTTCGATCAAGAAAAAGGTCATGTAATAATCCAAAACCAGAATATGGTGGTCAAACATGTGATGGATCAGATATAATGACTGAATCCTGTTCTTTTATACCATGCCCAGGTATATATGCTGTTTTTTTATTATAATCTTTTTTATTTTTAACACTAATAAAGACAAATATTTTAAGCCAAGACTTACTCAATCATAATATGTAGTACTTTTTATATATGCTTTATTTTATATATGCTTTGTGTGATAAATAGTATTATATTCTCTAGACTTTTCAATTAAAAAAAAATCATGAATTTAATATATTTATATATTTTATTTATATAATATTTATATATATTATTTATATAATAATTTTATTTTGGTTTGTAGACTTAATGCATATTTTGCATATATATTTTTATACATTTTACGTATTTTTATATAGTTATTTATATTATTGTGATTTTCTAGTGAATGGTGGTTTAAGTGAATGGACAGTTTTTGGACCATGTTCTAAATCTTGTGGTGGTGGCATCTCAGTGAGAACAAGAACCTGTACAAACCCATCTCCATCTAATGGAGGTAAAGACTGCAGCGAACCAACACTAGAAAGCAAAATTTGTTCCTCAGATCCATGCCCTAGTAAGTAATAAATTATTTTCTTGTAACTAAATCATTAAAATGTATTGTTTCATTTTAAATAATTTATTGCAATAATAAAACTTAAACATGTGTTCATTTTCTTATTCATATGTAAGAAAGTAACTGTTTCTTACCTATGTGTAAGAAAGTAACTGTTTCTTAATCATGTGTAAGAAAGTGTTTCACATTCTATTAACACTCTAGTGCTTTAAAATAAATCTTTGTAGAAAAACTAGCATTTAAAATAGTGGAGGCAAGACCTTTTCATATAAAAAAAAAAAAAAGACAGGTTAGCATCTTACTGCTCAGTTTTTAGACTCGAAGAAATATCTAATTTTTTTAGTTGATGGTAATTTTGGTGAGTGGAATTCATGGGGAACTTGTTCTGTTGATTGTGGTACCGGTGTTCAAACACGCCAAAGGGAATGTAACAGTCCAAAACCTCAATATGGTGGAAAAACATGTGATTTAATTGGAATTACTCAAGAACAAAGGGAATGTAAACTCAAAGAATGCCCAAATAAGTTTACTGGATACTTTCACATTGAGTTTTTATTTTTACATTATTAACTTTTTTTTAGTTTTATATTGTTTTATATTTTAATTATGGTCAGCATAAGTCTACATGGTATCCTCATCATGATATCATATTATATAAAGATCAATACAACTAATGGACTGAAAAACACAACAATTTTTAAAAAATTTTATGTTTTAAAATATAAACATCAAATTTTTATTTTTTTAAACTTAGTTTGTTACAAATAAATATCTAATTAATCCTTTAAGTATAAAATTAAAAAGTTTTTTTTTACAAAAACATGTTTGGTTTTAGCCTTAATCTTTTAAGTATGAAATTTAAAAATCTTTCTTTAGTAAATGGTGGATTTGGTAGCTGGAGTGAATTTTCCGCATGCTCTAAATTATGTGGTGATGGAGTACAAACTCGCACAAGAAAATGTGATCAGCCTGAACCTGCATATGGTGGAAAAGATTGTGTCGGAACAACAGTTGAAACAAACTTTTGCAAAATTGTTGATTGCCCCAGTAAGTTTAAAAAGATTTATTAACATGTGAAAACATCTAATCATGAAATAGCTTTATTAATTTTAAATTAAAATCAAAAAATCAATTGAATTTTTAGTTGATGGAAGTTGGAGTGAATGGGAACCATTCAGTGAGTGCAGTCAAAGTTGTGGTTCTACACTTAAATCAAGAAAAAGGTCTTGTACAAACCCAGCACCACAATATGGTGGTAAGGCTTGTGAAGGACTTGATACAATGACTACAGCATGCCCCTTTGTACCATGTCCAGGTATACCTAATAATAATGAATTATGATTATGGTGATAATAATGAGGATGATGATGACCAAAAAATTTTTATTTTTCAGTTAATGGTGGATATGGACAATGGTCTAGTTACAGCAGTTGCTCAAAAGATTGTGGACAAGGTACTCGAACCAGAACAAGACAATGTGACTCGCCTTCACCAGCAAATGGTGGAAGAAACTGTGATGTATTTGGACCATCTAGTGAACAGATTAATTGTTATACTCAGTGCCCAAGTACTTATTTCAGATTAAATATATTGAATTACTTTTTTAGTTACATTTTGTTTTAATTTTTTATTTCAACTTTAATTTAATTTATATTAATTGAATATTTTTATAGATAAAAGTATTGCATTATTTAATATTTAAATTTGTATTTTAAATGTTTTTTATAGCTCAATCTGCAATAGCCTGTGAGGCTGAAGATCTTAATATAAATTGCTATGGAAGAGGAACTATACAAATAAGCTCAGCTAATTATGGGAGAAGAGCAGACCATATATGTACAAGATGGCCTAATCGTTGGAATAGAAACTGTGGAAATGAATGGAACTCTCGCAACGTTGTTACAAGTAGATGTCAAAACCAAGCAGCCTGTAGTGTCAGAGCTGGTAATGAAGTTTTTGGAGACCCATGTTGGGGAATTTACAAATACCTTGAAGTACAGTATTATTGCAGTGGATAACAGACTTTATATGTTTTACAAATTTGATTGAATTATTTATTTTATTATACATTGTCTAAATATATTTATATAAATATTTGATTTAATATCAAATCTGATTTAATATCAAAGAATGTTTACATTACTTTTATTGAATGAGAGTAGCACATATGCAAGTTGATTTATGAGTTTTTTAAAACGTTGAAAATAATGATTAACATAAAATCCTCTCTTTTTTTTTACCTAAATCATTCGAAATATATGCAAATATTTTTTAGACTCATTTTTTAGTCATAGTTTCTGACATCTATTTTAAACTTTAGAGTTTAAAATAGATGTCAGATACTTAGAAAGATCGAGTTTAAAATACTTGTTGACTGTGAGTCATCATATCTGCATTAATAATCCTTTCTCATTTTTTAAATAAATTTTTGGCATATTCTTCGTTTCAATCGAATTTAGATATTAAAAAAAAAAGTCGGATAGAAATATTGAATAAAATCGCTTTTTATAAGCTGTAGCCTCGCTCCGGTCGATCTTTTTTCCCCGTATGATGTCTTGTATAGTCAAAAATATAAAAATACGTTTATATTTTTGCCTCATTTATTCATATTTTTATGCTTGAAAAGACTAAATTTAAATCTGCGATTAAGCAAGAAAAACCTGCTTTTCAAACCTAAAATTTTCGGGCTATCATTAGGTAGTTACACAGGAGTTGAAGCAGAATCAGAAATTTTCTGCTTGTTTTACAAAAATTATTACAAAGGTTGTAAAAAAATGCAAAAATTCAATAGGGGTGTATACAAAAAAGTTGTTAAATCTACATTTTTTCAAAATTTTGATTCTTCTTCACCACCAGAATTATACCCTAATACCACTACAATTATACCCTAAAAATTTCAAATCATTTGGCCTATCAGATCTAAAAATGTTTAAAATATTATACTGAAAATAACTAAAAAAAGGAAAGTAGGTTAAAATTAAAAAACAAAGAAAAAAATGCAATATAAACAATTAATAAGCCCCAGCTGCATAGGTTTAGGTATAGTTTCACTTTGTTTTTCTTCATCCACCTTTCCTAATGGCTCTCAGTTTTTTTCTTCACTCAGTTCCCTTTTTAGTGGACTTTTTATGCATTAATATTATCCTTTGATTGTCCATTTTCGGAGCGTTATTAATTAAAAAAAAATTATATGTTATACCAAGCACAACATAAACAAATTCCAGCCCTATAACTCCATCATTAAATTCAATAATAGCTGAAAATACAGATAACTCTAGAACTTTTGTAGATACAAACACAGTTTTAGGGCTCTTTTTCCAAATCGCATTATTCAATGACTCGTTGTTATTTTGTGTTTGTCCATGTAAGTATTTGTTAAGAAGTTCATCTTTTGAAAGATCTTGAAATAGTGGTATCAGAAGAGATTTTATGACATCTATCAAAGGTTTAGTAATATTACTAATTTTTAAATTTGCAGAGACATTTTCATTGAATGATAACAACTGTATTTTTTTAAGGTCTGCAGTGTGTTGGCTACCACAGAACTTTCTTTTATGTTTTGAAAGAGTTGATCTAGGCATACTTTAATTAATTTCCTCTAAAATTAAACACCCTTGATTTACTTTTATTTTAAGACTGCAAATTAAACAACTCTAGTTTTACGTGTCAAAAAATGTTATTTTAAAGTATGGGTTTTAAATAATTATTGTCTTACTTTTTCAACTTCAATAACACTTTTTCCAACTTGATAATGCAGTTTTCAAGCTTGTAATGAAATTTATTTCAATATTAAGGAGTCGTTGTTATGATGTTGCTAAGGGCGTGATTTTTATAAGGTTGCATAAAAATAAATTTTTGTCAATATATTCAATATTTTTAAAAATTCTTATAATATATTCGAATTTATTATAAAGTTTTGCATAATAAAAAATCGAAAAAATTTCTTGGACTTTTGACTAAAAATAAGGGTATGAACCACCTCCAATTGACGGTCTTTTTTGAAAAAGGTTTTTTTATTCAGTTTTGATCAAGAACTTATGCATGAATCTGAACTCATTAGCAGTCTATTTAATATGTATTGTATTGTATTGCAGTCGATACTAAAAACCTTTCATCAAAATTTGCTGCCATCAAAAACAGCTGCCTTTTCAGATAATTGGCCGATAGAGAAGATTGCATGAGTTATTACTTCAGCAACATGAATTAAAACCTTATGAATGGTTGGAAATATGGGATACCAACTAAACAGAATGATATACATTTTAGCAGTTTTGTGAGCAAAAGTGTCGAATTTTATATCATCAATTATATATTATTTAAAATTTTTGTTGTTGTTTATTTAGGTGCCCCAAGAAGACCTAACGGTCTTGTCACAGAACACCGCGGAAGTGCATTTAACTAGGAAGTTCATGCCCCCTTCCTTACCGTGCCCATCTTATCATGCCCCCTTCCTTACCGTGAGGCAAAAATTTATCCAGTGTTCGTTTTGAACCTGGATTTTCTGGTTTCACAGCAAGTGCTCTAACCACTGCGCCATGGCCGCACTTAAGAATAACGGCGCCACTTTAATAATAACGTGTAAACGTTTTATCATATCCAAATTAAAAACAGTTATTTGTGAAAATAATTCCGGGTGTAAAAAAATCTTTTTGACATCATTACTATTTAAAGCCCTAATAATCTTTAAAAGATATATATATATATATTTTTTCCTTGACAATTTCTTGACAACTTTTTCTTCGTCTGATTGAGCTTGCCACTATTATAAAGGTATTTTAAAAGCTAAATGAAGAAGTGGTTTTAGAAGCGGATCCTTACATAAAAAATTGATTTGCTCTTTTTTAATTAATTAAAATCTATCTTATTAAAATCATTTGATATTATTTATACTTATAATAAATGTAGTACCAAAAGCAGCGTTGCAGACTTTACCATCTGCCATTGTAAAATGCAAGGTATGCTTTATTTTTCCAATTTTATTAGGCAACCTCGTTTCTCTGAGATTTCTTATTTAATTTTTTAGCTGTTGTATCTCGTCAATTGTTATGTCTTTAGATTCACTAATAAAACGTAGTCAAATGGGTCTGCCTAACCTTGGAGAAGAGGTGACTGGGTTTTGCCAAATAGTTTTTTCCTGTTTACCACCAATTTTAAAAATCATTCTCATAGGTACTTAATAACTTTAAAAAATATTTGCATCACTGTCGGTACTGTCTTGAAATATTTGCTTAAATTTTGCTTATTGCGATCCATTATAGTCCCATTTTGATATTAAAACCAAAAATTTGTTTATTTACTAAATAATTTTCTATAATCTCTGAGACATATTTATATAACCCCAATGTGGTGTGGTTAAGTAATGCTTGTAATTGAACTTCAGTTGTAGTTTTGGTTGCTTGTACTAATATCTTATCAGCGTAACATTTTTGTTTCTACTTTGAATAAGTTCCCACTGTTTAATGTTAAAATCGTCTTATACAAACAGTGCTAGCACCTCTTGAGGTGTTAATTTATTGACAGTTACTTTTAAAAAGCAGAGTTAAATACTTTTCGGTATTTCTTTGCTCTGGTAAGCGTGGCAGTAATCTCTTTAACAAACTTTACCACATCAGTATTTCCTGAAGTACGCTGGCTCACTCTGGCTGCATACCTCAACTCATCAACAGTTACCTGTACGCGCAGATCCATAGTATTTTGACACTTACTACAGTCACTAAGCTTTATAAATAATTTTAAAGGTCTTCCAGGTTGCTCTAAATGAATACTTTTTTTTTTTTTTTTTTTTTTTTTTTTTTTTTTTATTTTAATTTTACATTTGTTAGTCGTATTACAACTTGCCAAAAAAAAAAAAAAATAAAAATAATGATGATAATAATAAACTTTCACATATATAAAATAAGGTATCTGAAAGAAGATCAAAGGATCTTGTCGTCAGAACCTTAAATAAGTTCAAACAAGCATTAACAGTATCAAATTTTTACAAATTTCATATATATATAATCCAAATATATATTTTATAATCCAAAGAGAGATCACGCGGATCTACTCACTAATATTTTATATAAACGTATACGTGAAGTAAAGAATATAAAATCAGCAAAATAAGTAAGAATAAACTTTTTACAAATATAAATAAGAAAAGGCAAAGTTATTAATTTATATTATTAATAATAACATAATACGTCTTCTAATGAAAAAATAAGGGTTTTTAATTTACTTTTAAAAAAACGAAAAGTAATGGGTAGTTCGAAATCAAAATTGGGCAAAACAATTTTATTCCAAAGGTGTGGTGCCCGATAGACAATACAAAATTGATTAAAGTTCGTTTGACAGAAAGGTTCATTTAAAAAATCAGTATTTCTCAAATTGTATTTGTTGATGGGTTTCGGAGTAAAAATATCTTTGAAGACAGATTGAGACAAGTCATTTTTCCACATGTATACAAAGCATAAAACATTATATATATTTAGCTCGTATATATTTAAAATTCTCATTTCAATAAAATAATGTTTTGCGTGAGAAAAGCGATTTGCAAAGCAGATTAAACGGATAGCATGTTTCTGACGGCGATAAAGACGTTGCAACTTACTTTTTTCTGTACTACCCCAGGCGATATTAGCATAATTTAAATAACTGTGTATAAATGAATAATAAAGTTTGATTAAAATTTTCTTATTGAGGTAGATTCGTGCTTTATATAAAACTCCTATGTTTTTTGAAATTTTAGTGCTTATGTAGTCGATATGATGATTCCAAGTGATGTTTTCATCAAGGTAAACACCTAAAAATTTTGTTACGGAATCCCTTTTTATTTCATTTTGATCAATAAAAATTTTAGGTAAGTTTAATGGCAAATATCGTTTTTTGGAAAGCGAATGGAATAAGGTCCACTTTGTTTTATTAGAATTTAGAGTTAACTTATTACATTTAAACCAACTCGATACATGTATAAGCTCTTTGTTCATTGTTTTAAAAAGTTCAAAGATATCACTGTTAGAAAGAAATAAGTTAGTATCATCTGCAAACATAATACTTGTTAGTTTAGAGGCTTTATTTAAATCATTAATATAAATTAGGAAAAGGAGTGGACCAAGAATTGAGCCTTGTGGGACTCCACATGTTATAGAAAGACAATTGGTGTGATAACCGTCATTACTCGGAACAAATTGTTTACGATTTGACAAATAGCTTTCAAACCATTTTAAAACTTTATTTTTTATTC